CAATGTGAGTGTGTGTGTGTGTGTTCAAATCGTAAAACAACAGCAGGAAAAGTGTGCGTTAAAAAAACATCTCCCATAAAGTGAATTTCTAAATAAAATTTTCTTATACTTATGGCCTGGCCTGCTGTGCCTTCATTGCAGCAAATGTATATATATGTATATATATCTAAAAATACAATTTGATTCACTTGCCCTCTATTGCTTATGAGTTTTACCTCGTAATTTGCTTGTTAAGTAACTAAATGCATAAATGTTAACGCCCACAATTAAATTAGTAATTAAGCATTAATTTATTATTTTGATAATTTCCTTCGCTTCTTCTGTGTTTTTATTCCTTATTTTTGTTCGGCTCGTTTAATCTTGCCATTGCCAATTCTTGACGTTTACACACGTGCCAACAAATAAATTTCACTTGCTTGAACTAGAAAGCAGAAGTTAACAAAAAAAAAAAACGTTTATCTATTCGTATCAAGCCGATTATGCGATTAAAACCGGAAGCTATTTGTTGACAGATTGAAATATTATTCTCAATAAATTTACAATATTTCTCTGGTGGGCTAAAAATCAATTAATTTTTTAGATAAATAAAATGTTTCATTAAATTGACTGAGTTGCCTTACCATTTACCCGGTGTCATCAACAATAATAAGAAGTCAGAAGTTTTAAATGTGTAAAGATGTTACTTCCAGAATTAAGAATTGGATTTCTTTCTACTTTTCCCTGAAAAGCAGTAAGCAACTCTGACGTTTAGTTCATTTTTGCTACGACAACAACCAGAACATACTTTAGCATATTTGCCAATTTTGAATTAAATTAGACAAGTGAGAACACTATAGCTGAGCCCAAGCCACCATTAAATACGCTGCAGTATCGCAGAATTATTCAAATAAAGATTTTTCAAAATAAGATGTTTTAAGGCAAGTAATCCATCCCAATATCCGGTCCCGGGCTGAACAGAGCTTGTTCTTGGGCCAAACCACGCAAATTTCATGAAAATATCTCAAAAATTGCGAGCCGTGGCTTCAATACAACAATACATACACAGACATAAGATAGGCAGAGGGACAGATATCCAATAGACAGACGGACAAATATCAGAAGAGCAAACGAACAGACCTCATAAGGACAGACGGACAGAGATTGATTCAAAAAATGATATTGAATCGGTTGGTATTACCCAAGGTGAGTCTATCGCAAGTCCTTCTGAGGGTTCCATAAATGAGCGCAAGCTTAATATACCCTTGTACTACAAGTGATGTAGGCCACAACTTACGAGCTTGCGAATGCAAATAAAAATAACGCCGAGAAAACAACGCCTCGTGCTGTGAATCCGTGGTAGTTTATATCATCTACGTTGGATGAAAGTATCGAAAAAATTAACAAATAAGAATATTATATTTGGTTGTGATTGAGTCTTTTTTATCTGTCACCACTTAATATGCAGTCATTGGTTAGTAACATGTAGAGTTTGTATGGTCTCTGATGGTTCTTTCTGGGTGCTGCAAATGCATTGACTAAATGAAAACATCCCTTATCTTTCGATGATTGATATAAAAAGCAATATAAACTAATAACCGCTATGTAAATGCACATCTTCATGCTGGTTATAATATAGAAAAAGAGCAAACGCAGGAAAAATTGCATAAGACCCATAAAAATTTTCCAAAGTGATCGCAAAAATTGATGCGAAAATGGAATTGAATTTTTTCTTAAAATTCTCAGCGGAATGCAATATCGTAGGAGTAATCATAGCACTGGCCTTCTCCCTTGTCCACAGCCAACTTCGGACGGATTTAAAAACGATAAGTAAAGAAAAGTTTCCTGAAAGATTTTCAGACTGAAAGTTAGCTTGACGAAGCTGAAAGACGAGAAGAAGGAGAAGAAGAAGTGGTCCACAAAAGTTGGGAAGCGAATAGTAAATTACCGAACAATTCTTAACGACAGGCTTGCAACGTTGATGTTGGCATAAGCTTCTTACTTCTTCAAGCTTAACGAGCTTTGGTTTTTTGCAAAGGTATTCTGAAAGGACGAGACGTATAATAGACAAATAAGATAAAAGTCAAATCCTATAATAAGTTCGCAAAGAGAGCTTCCTGTAGGTTTACCCAATAGAAAGGACTGAACTGAGGAAATATTTGGCTTGACTAGCTTTGTTTTTTTTTTTTTCTAAGAAACTCTTAAAGGACGGGACGAACAGTAAAATAAGATAAAAACTTAATCCCTTACCAAGTGCAAAGAGCACTTCCCTTCGATTTTATCAGTGGGAAAGACTGAATATGACAAGACTGGCTTTACTAGCTTCGGGTCTTTTCAGAACAACCCGCAAAAAGGACGAGACGACTAGTAGGCCTAAAAGATAAAAACCAAATCCGATGTTCGGACAAGACAAAGGAGCCTTCCTGTAGAGTGTTCCAATAAGAAAGATAGAATGTATAATATCGAAACACTATTTTAGGCTAATTGGCCCCTAAATATTGAAGATTAATAATTACTTTTTAGGATAATTAAAAAAAACTTTCGTTGGTGTTTTTTTTTGTTTTTGTCAAAGCAAAAATCCTATTAAAAAGTTTTCTATATGAAAATGTTGGAGAGCGCGGATATATTATATTAATTTTATTTCTTATTTATTCATAGACCGTATTATACGTTCATTCATTTCATTCATGCATTATTTACAACAGAACAAAATGAAAAAAATGCCATAAATTCAATCCTTTAAAGCGTTTAATTTAGTTATTTAATGAATGTGGCTAAGTTATGGGCGCATATTACTAGGATTGCAGAATGAATATTGCTTAGCCCTCCTTTGCTCTCTCTCTCTTTTTTCTTGCATTCATTTTTCATGCAACTACTGCTATTGGTATAATTTCATAAAAACAAAAAGAAAAACGAAAAAAAAAGAATTTAATTTCTAGGGCAACACTTGGCCTGATATGCTTAAGTTGTTTTAGGTCTCGTTTTTTTTTTTTTTTTTTTGCTGCTGTCTTATGAAAATATCTTTCATTTTCAATTTCGTTTGCATTTTTCAGAATGTGAATAAGTTTCTGTATGCATTGTATGTAGCGTTTGCAGAAAGCTTTTTTTTTTTTTTGTAAAGCCTTTAAATCATCAAGGCAATGGTTTATTTGAACGGACATAGTGAACATATTGCGCTTATTGCCTTGGACATGTATACACTTTTTTGTATTTATGTAAATTCTTGTATATTTGGTAATTTATACAAGTCGTGCAATGCGTATCCAATGCGACATTTCATGTTCAATCGCTTTTTTACAGTTATAAAATACTGTCAGTAAATGTTGACCAGAAAATTTCAACATTAGTAGCATGTAGAGCCGCTTAGCCAGTTACTAGCTGCTTATTCCGATTCATTTTTTTTCCTTTTTTTTGTGTAATTAACGGCATAATTACATTTTTTCAATGTTTGCAAAAACTCTCAAAAGAAAAAAAAAAAAAGAAAGAAAATTAAAATCGTTTAACACCCATCGCCGTTTAATCCAAAAAAACACAAAAAAAGTAAAAGAACAAAATTCTCATACACTACAATATGGAGTAGACGCTATCAATTTCTTCTTTTACATGGGGGCTTTGTAGGCACGTCCAATTCCAAATTTTTTTCCAAATTTTTTTGGCGATATCTTCATTTTCACTAGCGGGAAAATGTTTACCACAAATACTGCGAAGTTACGCAAACAGACAGATGGACAGACGGACATGTTCAGGTGCATTCAAGAGTTGTAACTGGCCAAGAATTTGTATATTTTATGGGGTTTTTAAAGCTTCTTTCTGCGTGTTAAATTTTGATACATTATAATGTTGGGTAGGCGTGGTCAAATTTTTGCATTTTTGTGCACAAACGCTGCAGCATAGCTCATAGAGTATGCGTTCAATTTTTTCCACATCTATTCGCTTTCGTTTATGAATAATGAGCAAAAACCAATTTCTCATTCCGTTTGAAAAACAAAGGCGTTCTTAGTTTATGTGGTGCTGTGGGCGTGTTCTTCTTTCCAATTTTTCTGCCAAATTTCAAGTCGATAGCTTCATTTTTGCGGCTAAGAAAATGTTTATAACAGACATTACACGGACGGACAGACGGACGGTGACATTCGATTGCAGCATGGTTCCAAAAAGGAACTCCCTTCATATATATCTTACATCGTATATCGTATGAAGAAGAAGGACACCATATGTGTCTTTCGCCGAATTTTTTCGTGCTCACTGCCGACTTATGTGTCATTTTCGAGACAACATGAAACGAAAGAGAATGAAACGACTCTATTCACTACAAATATATCTTATGTCTAAAAAGAAATAAAAAGTTGTAGCGATATTTGGTTGCAGAATGGTTCCAAAACGAAGGCGTTCACTTCATGCATACCTAATATTGCATGTCGTATGAAGAAGAGGGAATTCATGTGAGACTCTAGTGGAACAGGTAGTCCCTACCAACTTACGCACTACATTCGAAAGGACTGTTTATTTTGAATATAGCTTATATCGCTAATTGTGTAAAATAAACATAAAAAAGTTGTCGTTGGCCGAATCCTTCAGCATCCACCGCCAACTTTTGTACCGATGTACGATTGCGGAATAAATCCGTAGTTACTAATACCTTATATCGTAGAAGACGAAGAAGACAATCATATAGATCTCTGGTCGAATAACCACCACGAACTTGGGTACCACATTTGAGTGCTTAATAAGGTGAAAGAAGCGTTCACTTAAAATATATCCTACATATCCTATATTGTATAAAAAAATTAAAAAAATTTGTATTCGTCTTTGGTCTAATTTTTTGCAAACTCATTACTAGCTTTTCAATGACATTAAATTTCAAAATGATACCAAACAACTGTTCATTTCACATGTACCTTGGACCTTGTGCCCGATCTCCGACCGAGAGCCATTTATTATCCTGTTAAAGAATAAAAAATTTCAACAGATTGAAGAGCGCTTTCATATCGTAATTTGAACGTAACTTTACCTGATTTTTTTAATATGAAAACATGCAACGCTGTGCCTCTTACGAGAATAATGGGAAAAATTGAAATTGAGTTTAAAAGAGTGCGTATCTAAGGGAGTGGTTAAGGAAAAAAAAAAGAAAAAAAAAAAAAAACGAAGCAACCAGGCAAAAAATTATATTAAATATATAAAATATTGAAGCAAGCCTTGACTTTTATTTTATTTTTACATATTCAATCAATCGATTAAAGAAAAGATCGCATTATGTCGCTTGTGCCATTATTTGCTGAGTTGACTTATAATCCCAACAGCGGAATTGAACAATTATTATTGAAAGATAATTCAGATGTGGATGTCCATCCAATTAACGCTTTGCGCCGTGGTCGCCGTCACAGAGTGCGTTATACACCTTACAAGCCATCATTAAGGAATGCTCGCGTTAAAGATGAGAAAAATTCTTCCAACATTCCAGCCATCCAGATGTTTATGGATATGCCTGAATTTAAATTCAATGAATTGAGTGTAAAAGTAGTCGATCAAACTTTCGCCATAGGCGGGAAGCATAAGGAACGCGGGGACGATCACGACTTCATTCAAAAGCAAGTTGCCCAAGGGTTATAAGCCCAAAGATGTCATTCCCATTATATCGCTTGATGGAACACTTATAATTAAGGCGCCACCACCACCACCACCTAAGATAACAAAAATCGCTAATGAACACCTTATAGGGATTCATCAGACCGGCCCAGCTCATTCGAGCGAAGAACAACCAAAATCGACAAAAATTAGGACCCTCTTAATGGCGAGCAAAATACTAAATAAACGAATGACATCACTACTGGCCATCATCAGAATTCATTACAAGCATTATATGAACATAAAACATTATATCTTTTACATATATATTTTTGATTTCGAACTATATAAAAATACAAAGAAAAAAAAACCTTCAAAAGATAAGCAAATATTCATTTGTTAAGACAGGAAAAATTTTGATTCAATTCAGAACTGATAACTAAATTATCAAATACAATATGCACAGCTCTTCAAAACAGCCCCGTTTCAGATTTTGTCATTGATTGGGTCCTTCCTCCTTGCTAGACTGTGAAGCACATTTTTCAGGGTTAACTTTTCAAATAAAAACGGAAACGTCGCCAGGCAAGGCCGGCATTTAAATACCCTACGCCACATTGTCTAGCGCAAATCTTCCACACACTTCAAATTTTTTCCGCTTTACAAAGGGATCAATTTGCGTGAAAATCCTTATTAGGGTATTATCCAAAAGTAGGCCGAGATGGTCCAAATTTGATGCATTTGAGTGTTAAATTACTATTATGATATAATTTTCATGATAAACCAGTGAAAATTATACCTTTTTGTCGTATGAGCTTCAGGTTTCGTTATAGGCGAGCGGGTTCAAAATTGTCACAACCGATCCAAAGTATTCATACCAATTTAGAATGCCGAAATAGCCATTTTTGCCAAGAAATTTTGAAAATTGCAATTTTTTTTTTATAACGACTTTTCATGACTCGCCAGTTACATGGCGAGTGGTCGAAAACGTCTAGGGATCTGAAGCAATCTCAACAGCGTTCGTCCTTGGGTCAAAATACGTCACTTTATCAAATTTCATCGAAGGATCTCAAAAATTGCGACCTGTAGCTTGAATACAAAATGACATGGACAGACATTAGCCGGACAGATAGGCTACGCCCAACCCAGATTACGCTTTTGAGCCAAGCGCAGGTTGGGTCTGTCGTAAGCCTTTTTACAATGTTACATAATACGTCCTGTATCGAAAGCAGTGTAGGGTGTAAAGGTTCTTTTTTAAAAGATAACATGACAAATAATTAGAAAATTTAAGCTCTAGTTTCCCATGAGTCCCAAAGGCTTATTCTGGTAAAATTATGGTTAAAGTAAAATAAAAAATTATCGGTGTTTTATCAATTCTGAGTGAGCTTCAAAATTAATTTGCAGAAGTGCTTAGACACTTAATCGGGTCGCAGTGAAAAGAAACGGTTCAAGAAGGGGAATAGTCGTCACTTCAACAGGCGAACAACTGCCGCTTCCCATACATATAATTTGTGACGCTATAGCAAGTACTTTTACACTTCATTCGCAAGATCGTGGGTGTAACGGTTTCAGAAGTTCCTAGCGGGAAAAGTTTTTCACTACTACTAAAAACTTATCGACGACCAAAGACGAGCACTACTTTCGGTCGCCTATCTTACAATAAGTTCATCAGCTGTATTGTAGAATTAAGATAAGTTTTAGGGGGTATTAGAGGATCTATGATTCGACGAGCATAGAAATAGAAGAAGTGTGGTAACTGTTGAGCTGGTTCCAGAAAAAATTAATTAAAACTGAACCAAAAGCATAAGACAGTAAGCGGACAAGACAGGTACGGAAATTGTCATTGATTGAATCAAAAAATGAATTAAAGAACGATAACGGTCCACGATTAGATAGCCTACATCACATCCGAAATAGGAAAGGGATCGAAAACGTGGTCTGGTTCATTCTTTTACGAAATTTCATCAAAATATATCAACAATTGGGATCAATAGGCTAATTCATATAAGGTTATATAGGGAAGGGGTCGAAAACGGTTGCACACAATTACATAAAACAACAGACAGACGGACAGACAAAGAAGCCTAGATCGATTCAAAAAGTTATTCTGAATTTGCAGAAAGTAATTCTGAATCGATCGGTGTTACAGGATGTTATAGACATCCACGCAAACCTAATATGCCGTTGTAGCACAAGCGGATATCCAACCACGATGAGATACTAAGTAAAAATGAAAAGTGAATGTTCGAAGTGGTACAGAAATAAATAATGATTGATGATGATGAACACTCAACGAATTCAAGTGAATGAAATAAAAGAAATGAATTATATTATTTTAACGGTACTCCGGCTTCCATTAATTAACTGATAAGATCAAAGGGTAAAATTGGAGAGTAGACGAAGTATCATCAGGTGAGCTCGAGCCTACTGTCAAAAGCGGTGCATGTAAATATAAATATTTTTAAAAAACATGGCCTATGGACAAATCGGCATTTGTCGCACCCAGTCCCTCCGCCAAAAATGTATTTCCTTAAAAACTCTCAAAAAACTCCAAATACTCGAAAAGATTTAGTATTCTTTCAAGGGTATCCAGGGATTGGGTATCACTATTTTGCTTACCACGTGCGGCAAAATACCCATGAGAACTCCCACGGAATATGTGTGCACTTAATTACCCCAACGAAATCAAAAACGTATCCAAATCAAATTCAAAAATATTGGAAATGTTTTCCCAACTGACTTATCTAACATTTGACTAAAGCGCATATGGATATTATGTAAAAGATATAATCATTATCATCCCAGATACGTTTCAAGGCGAGTACAAATTTCATTTGTTATCAGCTAACGACAAATTGTCATGCGCTAATCGCGGATAAGCGACTTTTACCTAATTATGCATAAAAGAGTCCTTATGTCCTTTTGCTTGGCCTTGCATAAGATATTGAAATATTACATGTTAGTGCGGCCATGAATGTGTGTGTGTGCGTGTGTGTGTGTGTGTGTGTATCTTTGTTTGCACAGAATTATGTCATTTTTTTTTTTTTTTAATCAGCACACAGGGTATACATACATATATGCATGCATGCATGCAAATATGTGCAATATTTTACTGGCAATTATTGTAGAATAATTTTTCGTTACCCGTTGCCAGTGTTAGTAGTAATTGTCGCATTGTTACAGTAGCTGTAACATATATGTTTGCATATTATCTTCTGGAGGTTCATTCGCATTTGTTAACATTTAAACAATTTATGCATGCATGCATGCAAACATTATGCAAATGCATTCAGTCACACTAGTCATACACAAATGCATACATACTATATAAGTAATTGTTCTAATTACACTTGACAATACAAACAAAACTAAATACCGGCAAAAAGCACCTGCCTAGACTTATGTACTTCGGATGTAATTGTGTCTGTTTACAACTTTTATTTATACCTGCTTGCCTGTTCGTTTAGATGTATAAGACAAGAAAATAATTATAAAACAACTTAATTTACCGCATTAACCCACATATTTTAAATCCGGCTTGTCAAACTAATGGCCCTTAGCTAGCTAGCATTTTTTTTTTACGTCAGCTAAATGAAAAATATCGAATTATTTGAATAAAAACAAGTAAAACCACTGTGATCGTGCAAGGCAGATTATTAGACAACCTACAACACTACGCCTACTAATCTACTACTACGCCTACGTTATCGTGATAATATGCCAAGAATTATGCTTTATTATACCCATCACCGAAGGCTGAGGGGTATATTCAATTTATCAAAACGTTTGCAACGCCCAGAAGAAAGCATCAAAGATATTACAACATATATATATATATATATATATTCTTGATCAGTATGAAATTTTAAGTCCATTTAAGCAGGTCCGTCTGTGCAATGTCCGTTGTAATCAATCTCCTGGCGGCAAAAATAAAGCTAGCGGCTTCAAATTTGGCAGAAACATTGGAAACTCTTGCACGCAAGTTGGTATTGAGTCAAATGAGTCATATTGGTTAAAGGACACGCCCATAATACCATGTAAACTGACCATTCCAATGATCAATACATCAACTACCGTAGTGAAGTTAATTGACTTGTTAAAGATTTTATCACTTTTCAGTTGCTTTTGTCATAAAACCGCAATTTACACTTTTTCACCATAAAACGTCTTGCAGGGGTCTAAGTAACATGCGTCTGTTATGCAAATTCCTTATGGCTGATTTGCTGAGGGCACATTTTCATCACAAAATATTAGAGCTTTGTTTTCCATCAGAGCCTATATATGGATTGGGATTAAAAAAAATTGAACTGCTTAGTCCAAATTTGTTAGGGTTAGCTTCTATGTCAAATTGTTATTATGAACGAATTTTCGCCAAGAATTATTGGGAATTACATCTTTTCGCCATATAAAGACGAATTACTAAATGATTTTTGCCAGGACATACATACGTTCTTGCAGCATAAGTTGTGTAGGGTGTAAACATTATAGTCGCACAAGATCGATTACCACTTCGCCTAATATAATTATTCATTCATTATAGTGGGGATGTAAAGACACCCTTGCTACGACAACCTCTGAGTGAGATTCAATAAATTGAAGTAGGTGGCCCAAGTGGGCTCCAGTTTATTTTTTGCGAATACTTGTTATATAAATATATAACGATTTCATGATCGATCTTATTCATTTTCAATCGATTACGGCGTTGGGCTAAAAATGCATAGTGTAGTGATTTTAAAAATTTTGAACGGTTGGTTGAACACAAGAATATATAAACAAATATTAGTCAGACAGACGGACAGACCGGCTTACATCGACACAGAAACTGATAGGTGTAATAAAACTTTGAGTCTATTTTAAGACCTTTTGGATTTTGCATTCTTCCGCACGAAATTAATAGAACCTGAAATTGTTGGAAAGCCTTTTTAAAAATAATGCATGACAGGCTTCTACAAGTCAGTTTGGCACGCACATCAATACGAGTTGATTTCTTTCCCGACCAGACAATTTTGAACAATTAAAGCCGCTCGAGAGTAATATTTCGAAATAATCCTACTTACTTTAGAAAGCATGGTGTGTGCTCGCAACAAAAAATGGTGAAGCAAAAATTGTCGTCTTTGATGTCAGCGCATGAAAAAAACCTTACACTTGCCGCACTTCAAA